TAAACTGCACCCACTCACAAACTGGTGCTCTTTTGAGTTGGTCCCACAGCATACAAATGGCTGTACACAGAGGCACTGCTTGTCAACAGGCAAGGCAGGCAACTGCTTGGCACCCCAGACCAGTATGGGGCCCCTGAAGGCTCACAAACTTAAATCAAAGCAGTGGCCCAAAATGTGCAGTTTTGAATTGCAGTAGGAAACCTCCCTAAGGGGGCCCCCATCTGACAGCACTCACTCTCGTTGCCCTGCTACGCGTTACATTATTGCTTTGAAAACCAAAGTTTGTCAATGAAAGTCAACAAAGAAAATGAAGGTGGTTCTTATAGCGTTCTGAAAACTTTTTGCAATAACGTTCTGAAAATGTTTTGATATAATGTTCTGATAATGTTCTGTAAACGTTTTGTGATAATGTTCTGAACACGTTTGGGGATAAGGTTCTGAAAACGTTTGGGGATAAGGTTCTGAAAACGTTTGGCAATAATGTTCTGAGAACGTTTGGGAATAAAGTTCTGAAAACGTTTGGGGATAACATTCTGGAAATATTTCAGGATAGCGTTCTGAAAATGTTTGGGGATAACGTTCTGAGAATGTTTGGGCATAATGTTCTAAAAACGTTCTGCGATAACGTTCTGAAAACGTTTGGGGATAATGTTCTAAAAAGAAGTGGAATTATGTGTCTTTACCGTCTTTAGGAGAGAGGGCCCCGCAATAGATTTTTGCCTATAGGGCCCCACCAGACTCTGGAATCACCACTGGCTGTACAGTCCACCTCAACATCCTACAGCGACCCCCTAATCCCCCTGAACCTACACCCTCATCATAGCTTGAAATTCAGTTTTAGCTTCAGCTCCGCTGTTTGCAACCTCTGTGATTCTGTCCTGTTTGAGCTTACATAGTCGATCATTTCCTTTCCCTCAGTCACAAGGATTTTCACATCGGGTATCAGTTATATCTGAGTCGGTTCTCTTGCCCACTTCCATGGCTGCACATGTGTTGGTTTGCTGTGATAACTGGTCTTATATCCAACCAAAACGAGGGGTGCGGGTGCCTTAAAACAGCCTACTTTATCCCCAGTCAAAACAAATGAAGACCATTCAGGCCTGGAATTGAAACTTAGAGGGAGGACTTACTGACTGCTGCATTGCTGTCAGAGAAGCGAGCACTTCAACATCGCATGTTTCCTTAATGTATGAAGATATGGCAAGGTCATTTTATGATTTCATTCAGTAGATATATTTTATAGGCCTATTGCTCCTTTAATATAATGCACTACTGTGAGGCCACAACAATCATAGAGACAGGCCATTACCTGCTGTCTCAATAGCTGGATCTGCTTCACTATTACTAAGAGCTGCATCATTCCCTTAACGTTTAATTTGCTTTTCCGACAAAGTTTAAATTACCACCTCATTTATATAGGAACTTCTTAATGAAAACCCCTTTCAATTGAAAAACTGAATTGATATGTTGCATCACCTGCATCCTCTTCCTATTTAACAGATTAACAGACTTTTCTCTAGTTTGCTTCAGTCTAAATGACAGAATATTAAACGGTCCTTAAAACTCCAAGATATTAAGGTGATTACAGTTTGCTTTGGAGTCAAGAGATTTAAAACTGAAAATATACACATTGTCTCCCTCTGGTGGTGAAATGTTTTTTGACCTTTGGAATCCATAGACATAATGCAATTCATTTATTTCAAGGTGTTCTTCCTAAGCATTGAAACATCCTTTGAAGATACATATCACTGATTTGCATCAAATAAAGTTCATTTACATAAAAAACTATGCTCTAGTCAGATTTGAATTACACAAACTTGTTTTGTCTGCACTAAATCAAGTAAATTTAAAGCAATTTTATTTGCACAGCACCAAATGATTAATTAGTTTGCTTCAGAGGGCTCAGCAAGCTATGTCACATTTAAAAAGCTTTATCTCTATAACCTTGATTTAGATCAGGAAAATCCCCAAAATTGGAGAGTAAGAAACAACTAAGAAACATTTAAAATGAAAACCCCTCATGGATAAAGAGGCATGATTAATTATCTATTTAAATATAAATCAAAACCACTTACTTGCGATTTAAAATAACAAGAGCACAAAGACAGCAATGAAAAAATGCAGCTCACTTTTATTGTCATGGAAATGTATAATTCCCCCGGGTTGCGACACTCACGAGGGTCAGCACCTTGGACAGAGGTCGCAAATACTACCTTTGCAAAAGCACAAACATCTGAATCAATGATCCTTCACCCTGGACCATCAGGACATGTCACGTAAAGCTGCATGAGTAGTAACTATCCTCATTTACACTTGGTGACTCAACACAATGACAGATCTACTCATAAGAAATACCTTTTGCTTTAAATTAGTGTGATTATCTGATTCCCCAGCTCAACTGTGTGCATATTCCTATGTATGTCATACTCTCAAAGCTTTTGTAGTTACAGTCCAAAGGAAAATACAAAATGCAAACATACAAAGGAGGAGTCAGAGCAGACAATGGGTTTGGGTTACAGCCATACATAGAAAAACATTCAGGAACCTGTCTTTCAAACCTGAAACAATGAGGCTTTCCAGTAGAAACATTAACACATCAAGACACATTGTTGATCAAAATCAGATCTTTTCCAGATTTCTCACATACAGATTTCTCACATTTCCCAAAAAGGCTATTTGTGTGGGCATTGTGCAATTTGTGGATGGGTTATCAGATTGGCTTGCCACTTTCCTTGCTGACAGACCTTGTAATCTATCAGCACACATGTTTGTTCTTGTCTCTTACGTCACTGAGACAGTTGTCTTTTGACGAACTAATAGCGAAAGTTGAATGAGTCCAACTGGAGGTAGTCGGAGGCATTGGCAGAAGTTCCTATACACAGCAAGGTGAATGGCCACATTTGGGGATTTAGCCTCATCAACATGTTCTGTAACATGTTTTGTGTTGAACGTTACTTTGATCAAAAATCAACAGCCACAGAAGTGGACAACATTCAAATAGTCGCACAGAACTTTATTGGCACACTTTTATACATGGTGTAGTATTCCCAAACTGTGACTGTCTGTCACTGTCTGGTTATTCTAAGAGTCATGCTTTTTGAAATTGCCTAAATCAAGGTGAAAGCATCAAAACAGGCCTCCACACAAAAATAGAAAATATGGGGCACAGGTAGTGGTGTGCTATTCCCTTTCTCGTATGTAATTCCCCACTCTGTACCCGATTTCTGACTCTATCCACCGTCCAATCTCCAAATAAATGCATAAATAAAAAAGTGTTATTGCTTGATTGTTTCCTCAGCTAAATTGGCAGTTAAGGTTTTCTCTTTCATTCATTTTCTCAAAACTTAGCCTACTAAAACACAAAACTGTAAATATTTCAATTTTCATGAAAAAACAAACACTTACGCCTCCATTGGAGGTGCAAAGACATGAACAGTTCCATTCTTGACCTTTCAATTTACCATTTCCTATTACTTAACCTTCATTACTGTCCTTATCGGCTTTCTCAATTAAATCATTGTGAAATAAAAAAAAACATTTAATCAGGCATTTCATCAGACAACTTAAGCTCAGGGCATTAAACATGGGAAATAAAAACATATAGCCTACAAAGATATATATTTTTATAAACCGGAATATTCAAACAGCAACTTTGTGCTCCTGAGATATCTTACAAACTTCTGCTGTGTCACCGTCAGAGGCGTCACTTCCAGTAACTGCAATATTTCTTAGCCTGTTTTTCCAGATGTTTCTGGGTCAGAAAGTTTAAACGTTGGGGATAAACAAAGGAGGGTAAACGCAACATCATTTATTAATGACAGTAAGAGTGTAACTCACATCCGGTTCAGCTCCCAAATCAGCGCTCCCCCACGTTGTATGAGTACGTCACAACAAACCACAAAAAACTGGCAATTCCTGATGGCAGGGTCATTAAAATCATCATCATTAGTCATAATCAGCAACCTTTATTGATGCCTCGAAAATCATGGAGGTTTCTTTCATTTATGATGTCGAGGCACAAAAACGTACTATTAGCCTACATCGACTGAAACTCCAAAGAAACATACAAAAACAACAAAAATATTTATAGAAAACAATTACACACTGAGGTGTTATTAACACATAGATAATTGATTAGTGTGTCGATCTTAAGAGTATGGCTACATTGTAAAACATCCCACATGTTCTGCGCAAAGACGCAAAAAGCGGTCAGAAAACAAGTTTCTGACTAAGCTTGCTGATGAAGACGTCAGTATGATATTTAAATGATAATATTTCATTCAAAGATATTTGTACACTTTTACTCGTTCAATATTAAATCCATCCAGTGTGAATAATTGTAGACTGTCAAAAGATACCTGGCCCGGAAAAAATCGTGCATTTTGTTTTGTTGCTATTATGAACAAGTGCATTGTGAAATTATAATTATATTAGCTATACAGAATCATCAAAACAATACAAAATATTGCCATCTGCGTACAGGTTGATACTACTGTCGGTTATATGGTAGACAATATTATTGATATAATTGGTAAACAAGACAGGGCCCGGAACTAACCCCTGTGGAACACCTTTTGTTATTGGTCGAAACTTGGATATTTTTTTCCAGCCTTTACACACTCATCCAAAAGGTAGGAGCCATTTACAAGCAGTGGAGTCAAACCCAATGTTAGAGAGCTTCCCGATGAGAAGGCCATGATCAACCCTATTAAAAGATTTTGACAAATCAATCAAAACTGCATCACAATGTCTCTTCTTGTCCATGTCCGAAACAATATCAGTAACACTAATGTGACAACAGAGGTGGTACTGTGCATGGGTCTTAAACCAGGCTGATGAGGGATAAAATAACTACACATTTGAGAGACATTTGTTTTGAGTTGACTTTTTTCAGTGATTCTAGTAAATCTGTCATAGAGCCACTTTCACTTTGGGCAAGTATGCAGGCGCCTGGTAGAGAAGAGGGAGGGGAAAGTTTGGGATTTGCACACTCCTGAATGAGCAGTGCGTTATTAATCATTGAGTAGTGCGTGTACGCACTCAGTGGCTGCTTCAGTTTTCTTGCGCACACAGTTTCCTCCTCAGAAAGTTTAATGGCTAAATACAATTTCTGCCGGGTGAGCTGCTTTATCTTGGCTGGATTAATTAGTACCGTTTCTCTCGTCTTTTTCTGCATCTTCTGGTTTGTGGACGGAGGATGTCCCAACGGCAGTTTCAAGCACGCGGCTGTGGCTGCAGACTCTCTGCGGTGCTCACAGATCGGCAGGTAAGTCACCTTGTTGAACACTTTCTTACGTTGAAAAAAGTTCGTTATAATTGGGAGAAGTTAGTGCTGACTCTGACGAAAGATTTCCCTCAACACTTTCAACATTATACTTAAGTTGTTCGGGACTCTTCAGGCTATCTGTTCATGTGGCAGAGATAAAAAGCTGAACTGAATGGGATAAGCCGTTTAAGAGATTTGATAGGCTGTGTTTGAAGAATGAAGATAATACCTGCAGAAGTGTGTTATACAGGCTGTGATTCTACTCACCCCTTGTTTATGTATAGCCACTCTCATTTGTTTGACATGATTGTAAGATTTCCCAACCCACTCACTGATGTTTATCTTTAATGTGGAGTGAATAGACTTGCCTCTCTCTATCTATGATGCAGTCATTGTTCAGTGCAAGTCACAGCAGACTCCATAAATCTTTCATCAGAGGGACTCTAAATTTAGGAGAAAGGTGATTTCTCTTTACAAGAATGTGCGTGTACTATAGCTCTTCCGGCTTTTGTATTCAGGTGCAGACAGGGTGTCTTTCTTTTCCTTTGCACTGCCAAGATTTGTCAGGGGTTAATTTCCTCACAAGACAATGAGCTTCATGAAGCATCAGGCAACATGCTCATCTGAAAGGGCCTTTAAAGAACACACTAGGACCTTGTTTAAATCGATGCTGATATCTGAAGAGGAACAACATGATTAAGTGTTATAGAACACCTTCACATGTAACAGGAGTTATAGAAAAATAAAATATACTCTGGTCAGATAAATAGACAGTATATGAACACTGTGTTTAAGCAGAAGTATTCAGTTATAATCCCTCTTATTGTTAAAGAAAAGATAGAATCAAATCTAATATTATTTTCTCATGAATTTATACAAACCATTATCTTCATTACTGTATTGAAAGCTTGCTGTCAGTCTGAAGTCTTGCCTGTTACCTCTGTACACAATCCACCTTTCACAGATTAATACATTTACTACGTCTTCATAATGACATTAAACTGATATCAACTATTGCATTTGTTGTTCTTTTTAATCAGTCTACATGAGACTCCTAATTTATTTCATCTGATTCAATTTGGATCAGTCGATCTTTTCCTCTGTTCAACCCATCAAACGACAAAAGCCTCGAGTAGACCTGACCTTAACTGAACCAAAACATTCCCACTCCTTTTCCCCCTCTTATTGCATCTGAATCCATGCCAGCCTCTTAGTTGAAAAGAGCTATTCAGAAGCTCCCTGGAGACTGTTCAGAGTCAAGCTTACGGGATCTGTTATAATATACCTATTATGTAATTACATTGGAAACGCCTAATTAAAGCTTATGAGTTGTAAATTTCCAAGTTGTCCTTGAGAATCATGCCTTAAAAAGGCTCTGTATACCATGGCCAGCGACTTCCTGGTATGATTTCCTGAAGTCTGAAGCATCAGCATGTGGGGTAAACTTGCTTCTTGGCAGGCTGATACTCTTCAAAGACTACCCCACACAGCAACAAAATCAATGTGCACATGTGTATCTGAGGTTGGTAAATAGTTTAAATGTGTGTTCCCATAAATTTAATGACTATGTCTTTACAGGAACATGCTGCAGCAGGGAGGGTCAGCAGTAGATGGCGCCATTGCAGCACTTCTGTGCACGTCTGTAATCAATCCTCAGAGCATGGGGATTGGAGGGGGGTCTATATTCACTATTAGAGATAAAACAGGTGGGTCCTCTCATTTATTTGATGACGATTATGATGACATTTATTTAAATCCATAATCTTAAGTCTTTGATCTCTGTATTATTTCAGCGGGTCTCTGTGTGCTGTTTTGATATGTACAGTATTGGATTGCTTTTTTGTTAAAAAAATCTCCCCCTAAATGTTATATGAATATTATATATTTCTGTAGAAACAAACCTTTTTTATTTTTTATTTTGTAAGTATTTATAACTATCAATCAAAGCCGTTTTTACATTCTTGTTGTATTAAAGCACTTGGTAACCTCATCTGGGTTTAGAAAGGTGCCATATAAATCAAGTTTATTTATTATTAACTCTGAAAATAATTACGATTATGTATCTTTTTACAGGCAAAGTGAAAGTCTACAACTTCAGAGAGACGGTCCCAAAGTCTTTTGATCGTAACCTGTTAGATGATTGTCCAACCACATTCAGACTGACCACAGGTAGGCAGAATTGTCCATAACATGTACATATTCCTGTATCACAGGTTTCTTATTTGTGCAATGTTTTGTCAACATCAATATTGCATTCAAAGTTCCCATTAACAGTCAAGGCTAGGAAAGACAGGTTTGTTAGCATAGCACATTTCATACTCAATATGTTTTACACAATTTAAAGACAAAAAACAACTGAGCACATAAAAGGACACTATAAGAACAATTTATTTCTTTGTGGATTTTGATCTGATTTGAATTGCCCCTCTGGGTCAAATAAAGTTTTTTTTTAATTGGATTGAATCTGTACATAAGTAGGTACACTAGTAGTGTTTTCTTTTTTTTTCTTTAGAAAATCTCCACATGGTTTATTTCAACAGTCACATGTATCAATCATCAAGAATCTTGCAGTAGAAAATGGAAAAAAAGCATAGACTGCATATTAAGATGGACAGAGAAACAGCCGTCTGTAAGTGAAGCCAGAAGATTTAGAGCTCCCCTGATAGAGCATAGATAGATATAGATATAGAACGTAAACCCTGCCTCCTCTATGTTAACAAATAGGACATGGGTCAAACTATAAATTAAAATTGCTTCATTTTACTCAAACCCAGTTTCCTCATGATAGTTATTGTCATGCCATTTTTTTGGGGAAAAAGTTTTTCTTAGTTATGGATGCTATAAAATGGTGTTTGATGCCATAATTGACAGCTCTTTTGATAACACTGAGTGCATGGGATTAGCAGAGTATACGCGGAAAACAGTGAGAGAAAACGTGACTAACACCAACACAAGAGCGGTTGAGTTTCCATAATCGTAGGTTTCTGCTTCAAATTGACACATGAATCTGCTCCACTGTGGCCTCTACCTAACAGAGAGATTTTGTGCTGTTTATTGGTAAGTTAACTGTGTGTTTATGTCAATACCGTGATTAATCAAGCCGATCCCTACCGGGCAGACTCTGTGCAGGCTGAGGTGTGCTGTCCATCTTTCTACACAGTCTCTGTAAAATAAAATACATCTCTCTAACAGCATTTTCCAACATGAAAATGAACCATTACAAATATTCAATCTTCATACTGATGATCTCTTCTGTCTTTGTGGTCATAAGAACACATCAGCAATATTCTCAATCTGTTTCATAGCCTTAAATCCACTCACTAATCATTTTTAAGAACTCATTCTTTGCTATTCTTTTTGTTCCAGACCAATTTCTGATTGTTGTTTCTGTCATTTCTTGATTGCTGCACTCCTCCCCTCCCTGTACGATGTATAGGCACACAGTGGATCGTGTTCCCGGCGAGCTGCGGGATATGAAGCTGTCCACAAGCAGTATGGAAGCTGCCCTGGGCTAAGCTGTTTGAGCCAACTATAAAACTGGCTAGAGAGGGCATCCCTCTGCCTCCATTCCTGGGAAAGCTCCTAACTATCCCATTGCAAAAAAAACATGTGGAAGGTTCCTCCATCTGGTAAAGCATCTTACTGACAATTGAAACATGTTTGATGGTATGTGCCT